AAAGAATACTTCTTTTTATAGTGCGTTAATATCGACCATATTACTGCACTTTGAAAAATATTGTGCACGGCTTGGTCAATATTCTTGCAAATTTTAGGTATGATAAATAATTATTTGAATCTGGTTGGATAACTTTTCCGTGATGACGTCAGGATCTGAGATTTAGACGTTTTAAATATTTTTAGGAGTTGTCTTGTTTCCAAAGGTTCTCGTAACTCTTATAAAAGGGAAATGGGTCTTAGAAATAATGGAGGAATGATTGTTTAATGACACAGTTTGGTTTCTTTTTCTTTTTTCAAATTTTATCCAGTCTCTAATAAGTTCGATAGATGTACATGTAGATGTCAATAAGTGACTTAAAGCATCGCATTTTTCTGAGGGAAAAGGGAACAATTATGATTTTTCCATACCATGAAAATTCGTTCTCTCTCGCTCTCTCTCTCTCTCATCTATTTTTCTATCATATTCATTTATCTATCTATTGTGATCAGATATAAAACAATGGTTGACTTATTTATTTGATAGTAAGAAAATAAAAATTAGCCATATTACTCACTCGACTGAATTTTTCACCTCGTTCACTAATATCTTTTTCTCCAAAAGATTATGAAGTCAGATGACTTCTAAATCTGTAATTTGATATCGTAAAAACGCTAGACGTGTCAAATAGCATGTTTTAATTACCATGTAAATGCATTTTTTTCTGAGGTATCATTGTGGATACATTTTGAATAAAGGTTATGTGGCTCTCTTCTTTAATGTAATAGGGCGCGTAATTTTTTTTCTTCAGGAAAGCAAATAACAAATTTATGTTGTTTATTATTAAAATTTATGTCCAGAATTATTGTTTTATACGTATTTTTTCAAAGTGCGTTAAGTGTTTCCATGGTAAAAAAAAAATGTGTATGTACACTCTTAAAGCACTTTGAAAAAAAAAATTTCAAAGTGCGTGATTTTACAAAGTGCGTTGCCACAAACCCTCAAATGAAATGACAATCCTGACCGAAAAAGAATTTCTACCTCACTATTAATTATGAGATTGAAAAATCTTCTAACTTCTAACTTCACCCCTAATATTCTGAAAATTGCAGGGAGCCTATTCTACGTGCGCTGTTGCTTTATTCTATAATTTAGTATTATTTCGATTGGTGTTACGTCCTTTTAGGAAGTTTTTCGAATGATGGCTAAATTTTACATGTAATTTTACGTATAATACACGAGGAAGTGATTTCAGCACTTTTCATGTTAAGGAATTTGTATGAAAGAATACACACTTCATTTCAAAGCAAAATAAATCCGTATATCGTTGAACATTTACGATCTTTGTAGCTCTGCATATTTTTTGGGGGGAAGTTTCTAGTATGCCGGTCCCCAGAATCACGCGATAGCGCATGAGCAGTTATTTCCCTTGTCGTTGCTATGCAGAATGTAAACAAACCGCCATTTTCCCCTCGCTTCAACAAAACGCATTCGATCGAGTGATTAGGGTAAGGGTATATTGTTTTAAGATTGGATCTGTTTTATAAATCCACTCTTAAATCTTCCTGACTTCGGGCTAATTCATGTAATTTTTGCTTACAAAAGGCACTGCCAAGTGCCTTTTGTGACAAAAAATTTGCATGAATCAGCCTAATGTCGAATCGTTCCGATATACCATCTTATAGGAGTAAAGCATGAAACATGCAAAACTTAAACAAACCGTTAATTAAATATGACATTGTATGTGATCTACGGATTAGAGTTAGAGTATATAAAGCTCGGATATTGTAACTGTTTTACATTCACCCATGCTCGCATCTATATCACTTTGGGCTTATTGAAGTTATTAATGCAATTTTTGCTTACAAAGAACCGGAAGAACAGGAAAGTTTTGCGAAACTTGGATGAATTAGCCTTGGTCTAATATTGAAACGTGCCCGATATTGTGCGCTAAGTTTTGGCAAGTAATTGGTAAAAGCGACTTACCGTTTACTTAAGCTCGATATCCTAACCTCCTAATGTCCATATTCAGAATATTGTTTTCTTTCAAATCAATGGTGATGCACAATTCAATCAACCAATTACTAGTAATAAGTGATCACTTGTTAAATCCCTGCATTTCTCATAAAAATCTCGCAATTTTAGTAGCATTTCACTTTGAGTCCTTATCAGCTACTTCTTCATCAGTCTTCATTACGTCAAAACACAAGTGACGCACGTCATGAATATTTATGAGTTTACGTCAAAAGCTGATCATGTGACCACATTCCTAAACAACGCAAAATGGAGTTTTATTTACTAAACAAGTACGTTATTTTACAAAACCTTTTAATTCTCATTTAAAAACTGTGTTTAAAAACCAGTTTTTTAAACCCAATTTTTCACAAGGAACACGATTTTTGGCTCAATTTTGCGATTTGTGGCCTTTTTTATCGATTTTGTCGATCGTACACGCGATCATATTATATTGTACACCGCTTTCGGCGGCACCTACATTGTATTTTAGCGCCATATTTATAGGGACCGGTATACTAGAATACTAATTTTAAACTTCTGACGTGGCAAACAGCTGATATAAGTGATGTCGCCGTTGCCGTACTCAGCAGAGATCTCATACTTTACCATCCTCACAGAAAGCAGTCCAAGAGCAGTCCCACTGCAGTCCAAGAGCAGTCTCATTGCAGTACAAGAACAGTCGAATAGCGGTCCCAAAGAAGTCAAACAACAGTCCCAACAGTCCCAGCAGTTCCAGAAGGCAGTCCCAGCAGTTCCAAAAAGCAGTCCTAGCAGTCCCAATAGGCGGGGTTAATAAATTTAATGGGTGGACTTTAGTCCTAGCTAAGATTACATATTGTATCAACAAACAATGTAAGTAATATAAAGCAATAGAAATTAGTGATACATTTCTTTTTTTAGGAGAAAGGTGTTATATTATACATGAACATGTTACATTTACTGTATATTCACAATTCCTGTGTGACAACTGTTTCTTAGTAGTTAGCAAAAATACAGTATATAAATAAAGAGAAATAAAAGTCGAAAAGAGGCCTTCACAATAAATAAACACATGTACTCAAGAAGCATATTAATTTGACACGAAAATAAACTAATCTGTCTATTATCTCTAATATATAGACATTATATATGTCTATACGCGTGGACTGTCTGTTATTCATACCAAAAGGTGATTGAAATCTCAGCCAGGTGTTGAAACATTTTATACACTGTGTATGTCTTTTAATCGACCCGACAATGCAGTTCTTAAGTATATCTTGTCTACTTACACATAAAAAAGAAAAGAAATAAAATACAATTTTCAATATTTTAAACCATATTTAAAAATGTATATATTTTGTAAAACTTATTTATAAAAAAAACAATTGCCCACGTTCTTTATATGACGGGAGAATGGCAGAAAAAGTTATCATGGGAAAAAAAGAATTAATTATTACAAGGTTATAAATACATTGAAGCGGTTAAAAAGTGCATTTAAAGTTTTTTTTTCTTCATGATAGCGGCCTTTTTAGTTTAAAAATAAATAACTTTCCAGAATAGCATGTCGTTTTTTAATATTTATCTTTAATGACATGATTGTTTTCCTATTCAGGTCGTAGGGAAAAAAAATGAAAATTTTGAGTACATAATTGCACAGAATTAATTAATTAAAAATACTTTTATATATATTGTTTTGTTTCAAACACCTGCATTTATGTTAAATAGAAGAATTTTTTTTTTAAAAAAATCTTTTTCTAAGTTCCGATTTATTTTATATCTGGGAATGCAAATCACTATTATTTTTAAACGATTTTTCTAACTGATTTTACACCGCAATGATCCGTGATCGTTTGTTCACATATATTAATGTTACATTTTTTCTCCAGTCTCCTACCATACTTATTAATTTTTTTGAGAAATGCATTATGTTGTTACTTGGACAACTTCTCGGCTGAATGCAAACAAAACCACAGAAGACCACCTGCAAATTTGGGATATACAAGGGGCGTTTCTTTCTTGTCACTCAGAATATACAAATTAAAGCAGTCCCAGAAAGGGTGTACAAAGCAGTCCCGGACAGCAGGGATTGCTGGATTTGCTTTATACAGCAGTCCCGCAGCGATCCCAGAGCAATCTCCCACAGCAGTGCCATAGCGCTCTAAGAGCAGACCCACAGCAGTCCCAAAGGACAGCTTTCTGAGAAGTCTTTGGTGTCTGGTTGGGGTACTGTATATATATTTGTATATAACAAAATTCCCATGTATCAAAACTCTTGCTTTTAAAAATATCAACACTGTATTCATTTTCTCGGAATATTTTAAGGCGTATTTCCTATGGATGTCCTTAATCTAGTAGCGTGGTCTTTTCTGTTTGCAACTCAGAAGAAGTTTTCGGAAGCCATTGAGGGATTTGTCTGCGCTTTAAAACTTCTTTTTGTTTGTTAGAATATGAGACTGTATAAAAGCAAGTGGATTTCAGGGTTTATATAGCCACCTTCTTACAGAACAACTGAGTACTGGCTAGTTACATTTACTATTTACTAAAAACCGTTATTAAAATCAATAAAGTAAATAATTTTACCCAGGTTTATAGCTCAAAATGTAACATTCCACATTTTTTTATTCTGTGACTATATTGAAACTAAAGAGACAGCTTGTAAATGTTAGGCTTTGTGTAAAGCAAAACTTGTTCAATATTTTTATTTTACATGCTATATTCTAAATAAAGTTTATTTTCTAAATTTTAACCTGGCCCCACTGGAGAAACTAGTCTGGATATCGCTATAAGTTATTTAAAGCTTTTGAGACACAATAGAAAATTCTCAATAATCTTATCCCCACCCACCACTCATCTCGACAATGATGAAGAAAAGGTGTGAGATGGTTCCGTTGTATTTATTTTCGACATTGCAAATTATGAACACCTAAATTACTCGAAAAGGAATTCTTTTTTTAAACTATATCAAAAGCATTACAAAAATTTGCTAACATAAATCAATTGCAAATTGATCAATTCTATCACATCGAATCAATAACTGACTTACTACAGAATTGCAATAGTGAATTCGAATAATAACAACTGGACATTGAATATTTCAATCTGTTTACGTAGTACTTGTGTAATGCTTACATGTGTAATGCTTTATGAAAATTAGCGATTCTTAATTATTTTGTTAACATAGTAACAATTCAAATTTAAAAATTCTGAATAGAAAATTCAAATCTAGACAAAAGTGTGTGAGAAACACGTACAAAGCAATATCTGCAGCTTTCATGTAAGCCGTGCAGTTTTTTTGTGTAAAGCGTTTTGTGTAAACTGTAAAGCTTTTGGTACAAGCCATGTAGGAGCTTATACTGAGTGTTGTCTCCTACCAAATTTAGAATCTGTTCACTTTAATTTGTATACAATTAATTAAGATTCTCTAAAAAAAAAATACAAATGTCTTATTCATTGCTTTAAGAACTTCTCTATAGGCTCTTTGGCGATGGTGCTCACAGATTCTGTCAGCCAGGAATAACGTTCTTTTGGATATGTCTTATTAAACAGATTTGAGACAAACGCCATTAAATTATTCAAAAAAATCTACTAAAATGTATTTGTAGTTTCTGGATGTATGTGATAGTTATGCATATTGAGAAAATAAATTACTTTCAGCATATTCAAATGAAGCTTTAATTTCTTTTTGTGTTGTATAACCCTAGCTGATTGTATGTATCTTTTTCCTGATTAACAAAGCATGCATGGTCGTAGTCTGATGCGATATCTGTCACAGAGTTGTCTTCATTGAGATGGTTGTAAATGTCGTTTTGATTAACGTTCTCTTGGCCGCAGAAAGGGTTACCAAGTTGTATTTCGTTTGATACCTATTAAATATATTTTTCATTAAATTTATTCAAAACAGGTCAAACATGTACAGATGTATTCAAAAGTGTCTTACACAATTGCAAGCAAAATTTAAAATTTTATACACACCTTAGATGTGTGTTTTCCTGTTTCTTCCGTGTTTTCACCAGCATTTCTCTTTTCAAGGTTATAGTAATTAGGTGTAGAGGCCTCATATACCTGTCTAAATGAGGAATAAAATATAAAATAGTAGGAATACTCTGTAATATTTTCATCAGAATACTTTACGTGAAACCTTATCAGAAAGCCACCATGCAAATGTATTGTATTTATTTGCATTACTTACTAATCACCTTACTAATTATAGTGAAGTACCTTTTATGATCTGCCTTTCTCTTACTCCAAATAAGAATAATGTACAGAATTCCACATACAAGAACACCTAAAGTAATTCCTCCTATTCCAGATCCAATGAATAAGCTGACATTCTCATTGTTTCTCTCTACGAAATTAATGTTTATTGTAAATTATGTTTCTTGATTAACTAGAATATAGGGTTATTCAATGATAAGGTGATAACAAACGGTGATTGATAGCATAAACTTAAGTTATAACTTAATTAACTTATGCCCACTCTTCCATGGCACCTGATTCAAATTCTTTTTACATAATGTTTAGTTGGACTTTTGAACATGTTTACTATATCTTCACATTTATTTTTTTTTTCTTAACAAGCATGTGTAAATTACCAAAGTAAAGATTCAGCTGGGATTATTTCCTAAGATTTTACCGTTATTGTTAACGGAACTGATTTTTGACACAAGTGTACGTGAACATATTTTCCCAGAACCGTTTTGTGAACAAAATAAATCTTCAGGAGATCCATTGCATTGCTCATTTATATCACAACTATCATCTAACGACAGGTTACCTGTGCAAAAAAAAAAAAAAAAAAAAAAAAAAGAATGAAAAAGTGAATACAAGAATAGCAACTTGTTTAATGTAAAAACATACACGTACTTCACTAAATCAGATTAAAGCGTACCTTCGTAATTTTTAGTTATCAATTCAAAAAAATAAGTTAATCAGTATGTTCCGATTGAAATATACGACATGAGCTCATTCAGATTACCATGGAAACATTTATTGTACATCATTATGTAGCCTTCTTCACATTCGCAGACTCCACTAGTTGCATTACAGGACAAATGACCGGTTCCTTGTCTACACTGTGATGATTTAGAACAAGACTCCCCGACTCCCCTTTCTTTGTGAAAAAAATACCCTTTTTTAACACATCAATTAAAAAAAGGTATATATAGAAAGAGTGTTAAAATTATATTAAAATTGTATTAAAACATGCTGTTTCTCAAGCAAAAACTATCATATCAGACTATAACAAAAATTTGTAGAGTGTAACTTAATTCAGACATTTATGCGGAAAAAAACATCCCGCAGCAAATCTAAACAAGGTTTCTGTTCATTAAGACAATGCACTATGATCTTTTTTGCTGGGTCTTAAATTCGTGAAACATGCACCTTAAAATTCAGATTTTTCCCCGATATACTTTGCAGTCTTTCCTTATATCAAAGCATATTTGCTAGGAGGAAGATTTTATGACATCTGATTTATGACAGGTGGTATGAATGTTCTCAGTAAGATGAAAAACTAATAAATACGAACGAAGACTTGATAAATAAATACATGTACAATGACATAAAAAGTGTGAATTGCTCATTATAAAATGAGACTATCTTGGGAAAATCTTCGGATATCATACGCCTACGTTACATAAATGACATAGTTTATACGCCGGTGCTCTCCTTTAGGTTAAAAGTTATATATATATATATATATATATATATATATATATATATATATATATATATATATATATATATATATATATATATATATATATATATATATATATATATATATATATATATATATATACATGTATATATATATATATATATATACATGTATATATATATATATATATATATAGAGAGAGAGAGAGAGAGAGAGAGAGAGAGAGAGAGAGAGAGAGAGAGAGAGTCTCAACGTTTGGTAAAATGAAATGTTCACCTACCATATAATGTCTTCTCTTCACAGATAATATTAATGATCGCATCAGTATTGCCATAGCTACCACATGGCTTGTACATTGTGAACTGCAATTCCGGGGAGAAAGTTACTTTTATTTCCTCAATTTCATACTGTACACCAGACTTTTTCACATTATCATTAGTCAGGGAACAATTGATAATACAATTGTTCTTGTTCTCTATAAATTAATATACATTAATTTTCAATATATCATTTCATCTTGCTTCCTTTAGGAAAGATATATACTTTTTCTTTGTTCTATTTCTACACGTTTGTCATCTGAGATAAAATAGCTACATTTAAGCATTTTTAAGGCAATAAATTAACCTGATATGATACCTTTTTCTTCCTTTGGCAGTTTAATCTTCATCAGTGTAAAGAAGGAAAAAAAAACAACATTCCAAAACATGTATGTGTAATATAAAAACAAATACCATGAAAAATAGCTGTAAATGTGGCTTGATAGAACTCACAGGCTTTTGATGAGGAATAAAATGCTAGCACGTCCCGAAAGCAGACTGCCCTTGAAAACATAAACATTCACAGTAAGATTTTTCAACAAATCGCGTCTCAGATTATAAATTTTGAACAAAGAAGAATAATTATAATATTATCATGAGTGTGAGGGAGTTTACGCATAAAAGAAATTATCATTACCTTGCACAGTCTAATTTCGTTTGCAGAATACATATCACACGAAGAAGAAGAACTGAAATATGACATTGTGCATTATGATAAATATTTATAATTAACCCTGTGCATTGCATTCATTTAAAAATTAAATTGCAATGGTATGGTTCCAAGAAAATATTACAGCATAATTTGCAGCCATTTATTTGAAATACCAAGATATTTAAGCATAAATTGATTGTGACCATAAGTTTAAAGTGTTACATGTATGAAAATTTAATTCTATGTAAGGGATTTAATATCATAAGTGTTAAAAAAGGCTGTTGTAGGTACAAAATTTGATTTATAATGATTCACTTTAGACATTTTATGGATATCCGTGGATATCTTATCTTGCTTCAGAAAAAGGTGAATTTACTATCATGTAAAATTGGATGCAAAATTGGTGGAAATTACCTCCAATTGTGTGGGTAAGAAGGACTTCTTATAAGATATTTTTGTACAAGCCATACAATGGCTTTTTAAGCACATTTCGGGTACAAAATGAAACGAAGATACCTTCATTTAAAAGTAATTATGATTGTTTTAGCCACCTGCATTGAAGCAATGCATATGAAAAACTTTAAAACAAATTATAAGTGTCTGCCATTTGATCAACACCGCTGCATAATTCAGAGCAGTATTACATTTTCTTATGTACCGTATGAAATAGGAAAATAATAATACCTGATTTTATTTTATTTCTTTTACTTCTCTATTCAACTAAAGAAATTAGGATTAGGATTTATTATTTATATCTTGCATGAACTGAAATCATAAATCAAAGAAATTCTCTATGGAACTTTCAAATTATAATGTAGATTTTACTTACAGACTGAGCACAAAATCAAAGTCATATCCGTGGATTTATAAGCCGGTGCTCAAAATAAGACTTACATACAATTAGCCCTGCAAACTATTAGCACGTATACTAAACAGGAAGCTTTATCCCCTCTAAAGTAAACGTGCACACATTTTGCCGAAAAATATTAATTGAAGATTTTGTTTTCCGGAAAGGAAGTATTTTAACACTTACTCAGCTATGTTAAGGGAGGTCTGAGGGCACGATTTATGAGTATCATTGTAACATAAGTAGAATTTTAAAAAACTAACAAAAATCAATTAGACCTGATGATGATAAGTAAAAATCTGATCACTTTCGTTTTATCGACTACATCTTTTAATCATACAAAATATCACCATTTGACAATCATATTGCAGAGTTTTACGAAACATAACGTTTGTCATGTATGACGTCAGTACCCTTGATTTGATGCAGCACAAGTGATCCAAAGAAGGAAATTCATCACCCTTCTTTAAATATAATCAATAAAATAAAACAAACCATTCATTAAAATAAATGTATCGATACTTGATTTGAAGATTTGAGAAACTGCACGAAGATAAAGAATATGAAGGAAATCGAAACTTTGATAAGCATATTATGACATTAACCTAAAAGTGCAGTGACAGACTCAATAGGTTATTTGAGCAGAAGAACGAAATACTGATTTCTTTTAACATGAACATAACATTAAAATGTTTATATACGTGCTGGAAGCAGACTAATGTCCTTAAAATGTGTTCTATCAATCAATCTTTCAAGAGAAGTCGGGATTTTAAACTATTTCTCATATTTCCCGCAAGATTGGGAGAACTTTCGAAACTGCACAAACTAGCTACCAGACATTTCTGAAAGATGTTAAATTCTTTTAATCGAAAATGTGTAAATATTTTTTATACTTTATATCATTATCAACATTCAAAATAGATATTATATTTCTAACCGTCACGTGGCGAAAAACTGAAACATGTGATGAAAATGGTACGAAGTACATATCTTACTCATTTAATTCTATATGTATTCAGTTGATTTGTTTTACGGTGATTATTTTAAGTACATGTAATACATATCAAGAAGTTTCTCATATTTCCAATTTCCTTCCTTAATAAAGCTAAATATACTTTATTTTGTAAACAGTGCAATTGTGTTCGTCATGGGACTGTAAGCAATCTAATTCAATGCTTTTTGCAAACATTTGAATTGTAAAAGTGTTATGTTGGGAATTACGTACTGAAACCGTGATATGGTATATTATTTTATTTGTAATTAAAAAGATGATATTAAAAATATTTTATTAAAGTAACTTATTAAGTGAGTGTCGTTCAACAGGGAAAGGATTTTATACATTGTTTAAACACAAATGAACAATAATAAAATATAAAGTACACAGTATATAAATGGTGCCTGTTTTGGAGGGTGGGGTGTCAATTTCAACTATTACCCTCCAAAACAGGCACAATTTATTTTATTATACTGAATGTCTTATTGATTTACAATGTCAGCAAAAAAATTGTCGATCGTCTTTGCGTTCACCTTTAGAAAACTTTCAAACTCCCCGCCTTTATTTTGGGTGGAACTTAGATTGATTTATAGTTGAATTTTGGTTGCAAATGAAAGTTGAGGCAGCGTTGAAACTTAAACGTTGTTTCGACGTCAGATATAATTACTGAATAAAGGTTGAACATTGGTTGAAATAAGTTTGAATTTTGGTTGGAATGATTTTGATGTAGAAACGTTGATATTTTGTTGACATCATGTTGACTTCATATACAGTCTTTGCAATTATAGTAACGTTTTGGATATAGAAGCCATAATTTAAAAAAAATTTAAAAATCCGAAAAGTTTATGAATTAAGCATATTTTTTTCGTTTACGCAAAAATACTATATTCACAATTAATTTACATATTGATCATATTGAAAGAAGTGGTGAATGTAGATGCCATGGTTTGTATAAAAATACATATTAAAATTGTTGTAAGCCCAATTCTTTCCAATGAAATGTGAAGATAACGGATAGTGAACAGTTTCGAAAGTCCAATGAAACGTGTCAATGCGTTGAATAACTCTTACTATTTTGACGTTGACAATAAGATGCACATTACATGTTGCTTAAAGTTGAATGTTTCTCAGTTTCTCAACGTTGAAAAATATGTTGCATCTGCCACATTGTTTCAACATGGAAACGAACATTCAACGTTGAAAATATTTTGCATCTTCAACGTTGTTTCTACCTTGAAATAACAGCAAACATTAAACCTTGAATATATGCTAAATATTCAACATTGTTTAAACGTTGAAATATCAAGGAACAATCAACGTTGAAAATAAGCTGCATTTTCAACGTTGTTTAAACGTTGTAAAAATGTTTAAATTAGTCGTTGAGCCTTAGTTGTTCAACGTTGCAACTTATATACCACCTTCTTTCTTATGATGGACAAGAACTCCTTCCTTATTTAGATGTAGCTCGTAGAAAACAATTAACTATTAATCATATACATACATTCTTTAAATTTCAATCATTTTTACCATCATAATTTTAACGTTTGGATGCTTATAAATTGAGGAAAATTTTAAGGCAAGTAACCATTTCTAAATATCTCTTCGCAATATTTGATGATTGTTATTTTCTCTTTTGTAACATAGCAGCATTTTTGTGCATTCTTCAACAAGCTGTCTTTTTTCTGCAACTTAGACAAATTGAAAATTGATACACACGCAATAAAGGTAGAAAGAGTCAATATCCACAACACAGAGGACATGACACTTACATGTAACAACAAAGAATCAATCCATAAAAGAAAATACAATACAAATTAAATATAGATACTTTGTGGATAACAATAACAACGCAAAAAGTTATACTTGAAAAAGCGACACTGCATCTTCCATATATACTTAATGTTCTGATTTAGAATACTTAGAAGCAAAAAAGAAGGGCTTATGTTCGTGTTCATACGAAAATAATACCAAAATTTGACTTTTGACCATGTCTTTTCAGGTTCTTACACAATTCTTATCAGTTGTAAAAGATGTATACATGTATATTCAAACTCGGATTGGGCGGGAGACTTGCTAATGTAAAATTTTAACAGGAACATCTAGTTTAGGGATTGATTGTCTGCCTCGTTTTATATTTTAGTCAGTATTTTTCAAAATATTAAAGTTTTAAGATCTTGATGGGAAATAAACCGAATACACTCTTGGTCGTAAGGCAGTTTTTGTTTCAAACACAGTTGGTATGACATGTTCTGATAGAGTAATTAGAGTAAATTGTGGGAGGTAATTATGACTTGAAGCTGAATTAATGAAGCGAAAGGTTTCAACTTATCATATTTACTTGCAAATTTAGTAATGGGTCCCTTATGTAGAACAAGTTCTTTTGTTACTGGCGAGTTCCAATACAGCTATCCACTGGTTAAAATATTCAATTTCAATTGTCTCTAAAATGGACAATAATTTCGTTTGAAAAACGAAAGTATCAATATTATTTGATATATTCACGAATTCAATGACTTTAAATAGGGATAGGGTTTACAGTCAAAGATCGTGTAGAGTTCTAATTTCCTATTTTGTTTTTAAGAGGATATCTTGTAGATACCACTTTAGGCCATTTTTAAAAAAAAATGTTTGCCCTCTCCCGAGCGATTGACTAAAAATGCCCCGACTCAAAATTTTAAACTCCAGAAAACAAATAATTATTTTCATTCATATTTAATTTTTTCTCATCCCATTAATAATCATTTTAACATCATATTCTTAAGTGTTTTTAAATGAAAAAAAATTCCCCCAACCTACCGACCGAATATTTTTATCCAGAGTCGGGAGAGGGCAAGCAAGC